TGAGGTGAGGAGGCGGCAGGAGAAGGGGCTGGGCCGAGGGCAGCGGGCGATGCTTCCCCCAGCGCGGCCCCGGACTGACGGCCCTCCTGCGCCGGCCCCAGGGCCACGGTGGGGGGAGCACCACGTGAGACTTTTTTTGCAGACGGAGGTGGAGACGGCGCTGTCGGAGCTATCGGGCTGCCCCGTGCCCCAGCTCGATCCCCGCGTCCTGGAGGTCTACAGGGGCGTCAGAGAGGTAAGGCCAAAGCAGCTTTGCCCCGGGGCTCGGCGAGAGCCACGCTGAGCCCCGCGGCCTCTGTGTCCGCTCTCCCTCAGCGACGCTGCCTCCACCCTTACCCTGTGCAGGCGGTTCTGTGTATTAGCTGCAGTTTGCGCAGTATCGGCCCCTGGAGGGCCCAGAGAGTTTCCGAGCGACAATCTCCTGAGCACCGTGCTCAGGGTGGTCCTGGGACGGTCCTTTCTTAGGACCTGGGATGGTCCTTTCTTACCAGAGGTGCTAAGGGAGGGGAAAACGTTCTCGCAGTCATGAGACGAGTCCCGCAGCCCTGCTGTCAGCGCCCATATGTCACGGCCCGGCCTGTATCCGTGTCTTTTAAGGTGCTCTCCAAATACAGGAGCGGGAAACTCCCCAAGGCATTTAAAATCATTCCTGCCTTGTCCAACTGGGAGCAGATCCTCTACATCACAGAGCCGGAGACGTGGACAGCAGCTGCCATGTACCAAGCCACCAGGTAAGATCATCTCTGGGAGATGCTGATGTAGGATTTTTTAGCTTTTTCTTTCCATAACTGGAACCAGATTTACAAAATACCAACCTGTGTCCTGCTCCCTTCTCCACACCTCACTTTGTGCTTTGCTTTTCCCAGGATATTTTCATCCAACCTGAAAGAGAGGATGGCCCAGCGGTTCTACAACCTGGTGCTGCTGCCGCGGGTCAGGGATGACATCGCTGAGTACAAGCGCCTCAATTTTCACCTCTACATGGCTTTGAAGAAGGCTCTGTTCAAGCCGGCAGCCTGGTTCAAAGGTAGGGGCTCCCTGCAGGGCTGCCGTTCGTCCCTGGGAGCCTCTCGCCATCTGGGAGGCTCAGCAGAGACACGTGTTGCCCACCACTGCCCAGTGTGACAGCACACCGTGCCCTGCGTGGTGTGGCCCTGGGGGCTCAGTGGGGAGGAGGAGATGTGAAGGAGATGCAGGGACTCCGCCTCGGTGGACGAGGCAGCTTCCAAAGCCCCAGGGGCCCATTTGCGGCATTCGGGGTGGAAGGGTGATGCGTGCCGTAGGCTGACGCAGGTGCTGCCAGCGAGTGCTGCCAGGTATTTGAGTTCTTTTGGAGGTTGATGGCAGGTTACGAGCTGTCTCGGGTCTGATCTCGGTCTCGTCTGGCAACCTGAGGGTGTTTGGGGCTTGTTGCGTGGCAGGGAGATGCTGCGACCCCTGTAACGGCAGCTGGTGGAGGAGCTGTTATTTCCTGGGGTCAGATGTGTCCGGGGATAGAAGGGGCTGAGCCCCGTGTCCCACACGGAGAGGGGACAGGCGGTGCCTGACTCTTCCCCCTCCTCAGGCATCCTCATCCCCCTGTGCGAGTCGGGGACCTGCACGCTGCGGGAGGCCATCATCATCGGCAGCATCCTCACCAAGTGCTCCATCCCCGTCCTCCACTCCAGGTAACGTGCTGGGAAGCTGTGGCGGGGAGAGGTTCTC